TATGATTCATAAGTTTGGTCTTTTTATGGTGTCACACAATTCCTGCATATTCCATTCTTGTGTTTTCTTAAATTTTTCATAATCTTTGCTTGAGTAGTCTAATTCATCCAATTTATCTTCCAGTCTTGTTATTCTGTTTTCCATTTCATTTATCTTATTGGTGAGTTTTTCTCCTGACGTTTCTAATTGGCTTACTGAGTGTTTGATTTCCTTCTTCATTTCAGTCTGAGTATTCTTCAATATTTTTAACTCTTTTCTGAATTCAGGCAGAAGTTTATCCCTATCTTCTTTCAGTTGTTTGATTTCTTTGTGTGTTCTTTAAATTCACCAAATTCTTTTTATCATGTTTGTAATTGTTCTTTTGAATTCCATGTCCTGTGTTATCTCTAGGGGGCTCTCATTGTACTCCTTTAGATGGCTCTTGGTACTTGGTGGGGATATATTATTTGGGTTTTTTATGTTATTATTTTTTCCCTGTGACTTTGACATGTGGATTTCTTTCGTAGTTTCTGATTCTTGTGTGAGACTCAAGTCTTCCTTTGTTGAGTTTAGATCTGCTTCTTTTTGTACTTTATGTGCTTTTGTGGTTTAATTGTTCTGCATGATAAGCTGGTTAGTCTAGGCTTCAGGTTCTCTCTTTTGATTTTATATTGGAGGGGCCAAATTGCTTTTCTCTTGCTGCTCAGGAGTTCCCACAGAGGCCTAAGTCGGTCTTAGGCTTTCTCCTAAGGTCTCGATCCCTCCAGGAAAGATGCTGGCCTCAGAAATTTGGGAGCTGGGCTGGCCTGGGACCAGGGCCCAGGAAAGTCACTGACCCCAGGAAGCTGGGGGCTGCCCAGGGATGCAAAGGGAGGTGGGGAGCGGGAAGAGGCCCCAAGGGCTCCTGGGGACTAGAGGGAGGAATTGAGTTGGTCTGGATGCAGAGGATCAGGATACAGTAGGGAGTCTGGCCAAGAGGTCAGTCCAGAGGTCTGGGGTGCCAAGACAAGAATTGGGCCAGTGCCCAGGCTAGGAGAAAAGATGGGGTGGGGGATCTGTGAGGGTGGATAAGGCTGGGAGAGTCAATACACAGTGGGCTCTGCCAGACTTACCCAGGAAAGATGCTGGCCCCAGGAAAGATGCTGGCCCCAGGAAGCCTGGGGGCTGCTGTGCTGCCCAGGAATACAAAGGGAGGTGGAGATGGGAGCAGGCCCCGAGGGCTCCTGGAGACTAGAGTGATGAATCAGGTTGGTCTGGATGCAAAGGATCAGGAAGCAGTGGGGAGTCTGGGCTGAGAGGTTAGTCCAGAGGTCTGGGGTGCCAAGATAAGAAATGGGCCAGTGCCCAGAATAGGAGGAGAGATGGGGTAGGGGAGCTGGGAGGGTGAATGTGGCCGGAGTAATCAAGGCGCAATGGGTACCACCAAACGTATGTGGGAAAGATGCTGGCCCCAAGAAGCTGGGTGGCTGGCACAACCATTTTTTAAGCTTTTGGTTTTATTATCTTTTGCCTTACTCATATACATTTCTGTTTCTACAGGGAGAGTGTAAAAATAAATGCACATAGATTAAGGTTGCCAAACCTTTTTGGTTAAAACTACAAAATTTTCACTGGATCATTTTCCAAGTAGCTTTGGTGGGCACATACCCTGTGTCTATGTTGTTGGTATGATCAAAGTAGAAGAAAACATTTCTCCAGTAGTAACACTTCAGATAAGGCTAATAGCTTGTGCACTATACACTAGAATCAGGTACATTATGTTAGAACTTTCCATAGAATCACAGGGATCACAGATCTTAGAGTAGGCCTTGATTAAAAAAGTAGTGTATGTCTCTGACCAGGTTTAGTGGCACATACCTTTAATCCCAGCACTGGAGAGGCAGTTGGATCTCTGTGAGTTTGAGGCCAGCCTCATCTACATTGAGACTTTCAGACCATCCAGGTCTACATAGTGAGAACCTGTCTCCAAAAAATAAAAAAAATAATAAAAAAATTAAATAAATGTGCAAGTCTCAAAGAAAGAAAGAAAAGACCTATCTTTTTAGGGTCTTACCAGATAGCCCAGGCTGGCTTGTAGTCACAACCATCTTGTCTCATCTTCCTGACCCTCCTAAATTTAATTGGGCATATAGGCATGTACAACATGCACATTGTATTGAAAAATGAATTTTCTGAAATGTCACTTTTGTTGATTTAAGATTCACAACTTAAATTTAACCAATCTTGTTTCAGACCTTTGCTGTAGGGAGAGTTAAAGGCACTCATGTTCTAACTAAACTTATGGAAGTTATCGAATCAAATTGATATAACTATGAACTGATTTTAGCCCTGCCAAGACGTTTAATGCCCATTTGTGTTTACTTGGAATTACATAGCCAGACCTTTGTCAGTAGTGCTTGCCCTGTTTTCTCTTGTGATTTTTTTTCTTAGTAGCTTTATACTTGCTTCTTTTGAGCCTGTGCACCCTGAAGCCATGTTCTAGTCTCACTGTACTGATTGTGAAGCCACTGTGTGCTATAGCTGCCTCATTTTACAGATGTGTGTGGGCAAAGGCTTAGTCTCCAGCCTTTGCCTGGTGCCTTGCGCACACCAGTTATTGCTACAAATGCCATCACTACTGCTATATTTAAAGGGATTACTTTTTTATTTTGTGATTGACAAACCATGATTGAGAAGTTCATAAGGGAGGGCACTCATTCTGGAAAGTAGGCATGCTGTAATAAAATGGTTAAAATTCCCTATATGATATCTGACTTGACATCCCTTTTGCTCACTTCAGTACTTGAAGTAAG